GGTGCTTTTATTATAGATTTTTTTCCTCTAAAAATATTATTTACCTTTCGTGAAATTTTTATTGCATCTTTTAAGTTATCACTTTTCTTTAAATTTTGTTTAGCTCTTTTTAAAGCATGTTTGAAGAGATGATAACCAGTTTTTCCTCCCACTTTCTTAGCTTTACTATAAATGTTCCCATACCGAATTTCGTTTTTGTCTTCATTATATTTGTAACTAACCAAGCATTTGTTTTCTCATTTGTTTTCTCATTAAGATTGCTATCCTTCGCTTTAACTCTTTCCCAAGCCTTCTCAATTAATTTTTTATCAGCAATATGTCGATTCTCTAAATCTTTATTATATAAATATGATATATCATGTTCTCTACAAGCGGCGTCTAGTAGATTAATACCTCGATCTCCTCTTACTAAACGTTTCTCTAGTTTCGTTCCAGGTCTAAAAGATTGATAACTAGGCAAATGAAGTTCAGCAGGAAGCTTATTAATTATATTATTTATAAAACCTTTTCCGACGACTGACGATTTATGACTAAACCTTTTTTCATAAATAACTCTCATATTTAGGCCTTTTCATATTAATAGTTTAAATATAAGTAATTAAAAGTATAAAAATAATTTGTTTATATATATTTATATTAGTATTCAAAATACGGTTTGTGAAGCAACGTAATACCCAAAATATTAAAAATGTTGACTTGAGATTTAATAAAGTAAATAAAGTTCGACATAGCTCATTATTACCAAACTCAATTCGAGCTCTTATTGTTGGACCATCAAACTGTGGGAAGACAAATGTAATGATTAGCCTCATTGAAAGTCCAAATGGGTTAAAATTCAAAAACATCTATTTATATTCGAAATCTTTACATCAATCAAAATATAAATACTTAAAACATCTAATAAACCCTATTAAGGAGATTAATATTTCAACATTTTCAAATAATGATGATGTGCTATCACCTGACAACGCAAAAGCAAATTCTATATTTATATTTGCTGATATAGCTTGCGAAAAAACAAAATCATGTTCGATCCTATTTTTGTATGGGTCGTCATAAAGAGATTGATAGTTTTTATTTATGTCAGACTTTTACTCGTATTCCAAAACCTTAATTCGAGATAATGCAAATTTAATTATCGTATTCAAACAAGATGAAAGGAATATTAAACATATCTATAATGATCATGTTGGAGCTGATATGTCCTTTAAGACTTTTTGCATTTTAAATGCATAAATGTTGGAAAGAAAAATATGGATTTCTGGTTATAAGTAAAGATGATTCTATCAACAATGGTCGATATAGAAAAGGATTTGACGTCTTTATAACCTTACTAGCAGACCCGGCGAACTTCGTTCCGCCCAAAATTTTTATATATTTTATTGAAATTTTTTGGTCCAACATTTTCACCAACAATTCACGTTTACGATTTTCATTGGCACATTTGTCTGCTAAGATTAAGGTATGGTGGTCATTTGCCGCTTTAAATAACCTAAGGAAAGTGTTATATCCGTTCTTGAAATTCTCCAGTTGTGCGGCATTTCATAGCACGGTTATTCGCAAAGCGAAATACATTTTTTCCTCTTCACTCCCTGGCGGCAACAATGACCCGGTTCTATAGTGAATGTCCTAGAAGCTTTACAGTATAGTAGGTGGCAATTTCAAAATGGGTGCGAATCATTGTTCTACAGAAATGCAATATACATACGGTGACCATCCGTTCTGTTTTTTGCAGGACCGTACTGTTATTTAAAGGTCTGTCCTGCGTAGTTTTTCAAAACATAAAACCCCCAAAATGTACTGATTTTTTCCAAGTGTCCTGCCGTTGCCCCGCATTTTCTTCGATATTTTAAAATTAACTTTTCCTAATCGAAATAAAAGCAGTGTCGATAACTAATTGATAACTACATAAGGGTAAGCTGGTTTTGAAGGTTCAACTATTCAATGCGTTCAATGCGTTCTAAATATTGTACTGTTATGGACAATGGATGACGAGAAATTGAAGGCCAGCATCAAATATATCGATAACATTGTTCTACAAATTTTGTGGTAATCGCTTAAGAAAAAAAAAATTTCCAAGCCAATTTTCCTTTCAAACAAGCGTTTTCGTTATTTTTTCGAAAAGCGTGTTTTTAGTACATTTCGAACCTATTCGTCGATGTCATAAAAAAATTATCCATCAACATAAGCGACCTACAGTCTCTTACAAAAATATATTACTTTGCCGATTTCGATGAAAATTATTAGTGTTACAAGCGACCAAAATCGAAAAATTGAAATTTCAATCATTTTCGTTTTACAGCAAATGAAAATCTGATGAGAAATGTAGATGTTACGGAACACAATCTGCACAACAAATATATATTTTTGCAAAGAGCCCATCAAACCTTTCGAAATGTTGGTCGTTTCATGAGATATTGAGGAATAACTGAAAAAGTATTAAAAATACGTTTTTCGAACAAGTCTCGAAAACACTTCTTTGAAAACATGGGTATTTTTCGTGTTCAACGACCCAAAGTTTGCCTAAAAGAATTGCTTTACAGAGGTTCATATTTCGTGTAAAGTAATATGTAATATGCCTTATTATAATTTTGTAAATATTCATTACTAAAAGATTAATACCAATGAAGCAAATGTGATTTATGTTTAAAGTTTAAAATTGGATTAATAATTAAGAAATATACACTCCTCGTTATTTGAATAGCGCATCCTTTCAATATTTAGTAGGTACAGTTTTCCTTTTGTTTGTTTAATATTCATTAACTTTTTATAAAAATATAGCATATTCTACGTCTACATCCCATTTAAAAAATTTTCGAAAATAAAAAAAAAATAAACATATGGGCGACTTTTTTTTTTGTTGACTGTGCTGCGCATTTTCTTCGATATAAAAATTTTGTCAAGCATTCTTTGTATGGTAGAAAATCAAAAAAAGGGGGCGCTATTCAAATGACGAGGAATGTATTTATGTAGTATATTTTTGTTATTTTTATACTACGGAATTATATGTAGGTAAATTTTTTGAAAAATTGTCCTGCATTTTCAAAATATATTTATGGTCACCGTAAATATACATATACTTATTTTAGACGAAATACCTTAAAAGTTTGAACGCATAATAATATTGGAAAATCACATCCATTGGGACAATTGCAACGCAGGAGCGTTCGATATACTCAATGGTGCAACAGGTCGTTTTAATCTGACCTTCACGGTCACTTTTCTCACTTGGCTATTTTTAGTAATAGTATTGCATACATATTTAAAACATTAGCCAAATCGGATCATAAATAAGATTTTTAGTAATAACTCAACTACAGCGCCAACTGTCGGATTAAATTGTGAAACTAAACCATCCAGAGACCCACTCAAATATACAAAAAGTTTCGTTAAAATCCGTACAACCATCTAGGAGGATTTCACTCACAAACACACCTACAGAAGAATAAAAAAATTCATTCAAAGATAGCTAAAGGTCGGTACGTTTGTAGGCCTCACACCCCTTTTCAAATAGCCCAAATTTTCTCCAGGAGTATGGCCTTGATTTCAACTATATACATATCTCGATACGAAGTTCCAGTACTGTACCATGAATACTTTCAGAGATATGCAGTATAAAAATTCGATTTATATGGGAAGTGCCACGCCCCCTTTCCAACAGCTGCCCTCTTTCTTCATGAGTATGCGATTGATTTCGTATATCTCAAGTTCCAACTCTACCATGAAGATAGGCAGTATGAAAAATTCGGTTTGTATGGAAGATGCCACGCCCCCTTTTCCCATAGTTCCAATTTTTCTCAAAGAGTATGCGATTTATTTCGTACATCTCCATACAAAACTCTAGAACTCTACCAAAAAATTTCCAGAGATAAGCAGAATGAAAAATTCGGTTTGTATGGGAGATGTCACACCCCTTTTTACAATAGGTAAAATTTTTCTCCAAGGGTATGCGATTGATTTCGTATATCTCCATACCAATTTCCAAAACTCTACCATGCACACTTTCAGAGATATGTAGCATGAGAAATTCGGTTTGTATG